TGCTCCTGCTTACAGCCCCAGGCGTTGGCCATTCCATTTCAATCCTGTTGTTCAGGTGACCTAGGGATGATGTGAGGACCCTCCGTCCCATGTCCCGACCTGTGGCATTACCAGAGTGTGTCTTCGCCCCTTGCTGGCTAGGCGTGAAAGACATCTAATATAGGATCTCTCAGGCCTCTGGATGGGAAACTTGGGGGCTGATCAAAGTGTTCTAAAACAGAAAGGCTAGAAAGAAGCCTATTCTCCTTCCAGTTTCCTCAACCCTGCCTTGAACCTGTCTAAACGGGCCTGTGCTTTAGCTCTGAATGCCCAGCAATGGCCACCATGCCTGCAGAACTGGCATCACCCAGATCAGCCTGGCCTAGCCCTTAAGAGCCAGCGACATACGCCTGGCACTGGGCACCCCAGGCTGTGCCCGTCACCCCTGTCAGGGCCCCGCAGCCTCCCAGGAGGCCACTGCGGGGTGATGTTGAAGGTGGACGTTTGGCCCGTCGATTCCACGCAGCGGGCTCCTGGTGATGGATTGGCCCCGTGCTCCACTTGGGCTCTCAACGCTCTGCAGGGTTTTCTAATTTAGCTTTGCCATGGCTCAGCCAAGATGGGATTCGGGGAAGAAAAGAAAAGAGGGAGAGAGTGCTTGTGTGGCGGCAGGTTCCGGCCTGCCTCTTCCTGCTCTGAAGTGAAGGCCTCTCAAGCTGCCACCTCGCAGCCTCCCATCTCCCTCGGGGAGCAGCTCCTCACAGAGTGGTGCTTTCATGATGACTCCCCCATCCATTATGAATAGCTGCTGCTTTGGTCCAAAGCATCAGGGTTGCTTTTCTTCCTCCTTTCAAGTTGGGACCTAAATGTGCACACATGCCCACTCCCACGCCTCCCACACCACCAGCCACTGCAGCTGGGCAGGCGGAAGGCCGGAGGGGCTGACGGGCTGGGAGAGGGGGTGGGAGAGGGGCCGCTCAGCCCTGCAGGCACCAGGACTTCAGATCCTCTGCTGAGGAGCACCCCAGCAGCTTGAGGGCTGCTCTGAGAGGGGCAGCTCTGCCTGTGCTCTGTGTCCCCATTGGCAACTGACATTTCTCACCTCCCCAGTGCAGCCTTGATCTTTACCAGGTCAACTTCCTGACTCCCCAGCTTGTCTAATCCGTAGGTGGGCCCTCATCAAAGGCACAGAGAGCAAATGGTCCTGTGGCCCTGCAGTCTGCCAGGGCTGCTGACCATGCCCCGAGGGCGGAAAGTGGGAGCAAATGACCCAGGACGCTGCTGTGCCTGCTTGGGCGTGGGCGAGCTGGGCGAGCAGGAGGTTCGCCTCCTCCTCCACACAGTGGGGTGGGCTGCAGAGGCTGCTGGGGCCAGCCGCCCCCTCCTACAGCGCTTTCCCTGCTGCACACCTGATTTACATGCAGAAGTCACTGTTTCTTAAAGTGCTTCCTTCTCCCAGCACCTGTGGGCGCTGCGAGGGGGCGGGTTGGCAGGCCTTCTTTTCAGAGCTGGGACAGCCTTGAGATACAGCACAGCTTTCTCCCTCCCTCCCCTCTTCCTCTAGTCTCTCAACTTCTGCAGCAATAAAATGGGTGATGTTGAGAGCCACAGCCGAAGGGGCCCCAGCAAACTTCCAGCTGCCAGCTGATGATTGGCTCACAGCGGCCCCAGCACACTTCTAGCTGCCAGCTGATTGGCTCCTCTGCGGTGATGCTCATTGGGCTGTTTCCCCGCCCTTTCAGACCACGGAACTGCTGTTGGGGGACTTTTTTGGCTCCACCCACCCGACCCAGCCAATCGGCCTCAAGAGCAGGAGGAGTGGGGGAGGTGGAGAGGCTTGTGGGAAGCCGGTGGTGGCAGTTGGGCTCTGAGGGTTTTCCTGAGGAGCTGTGTGGTGTGGTGTGTGTGGTTCTAAAAATAAAGTTAGTTTCTTTTGACAAGTGGCTCCAGAATTGTGCCCAGCCAAACTGCGGCATTTGGTGGCCCGTACGGGGATTGAACCCGCGACTTTGGTGTTATCAGCAAGGTCGCCCTCCCACCTCCAGAGCATGATGTCCAGCCGCACTGTCCTCTGAACAGGTAGAGAGCCCTGCTGTCAGCCTCACCATTGGGCTTATCCCTGAGACAGTTTAAATTGCCCAGTGCTGCTTACTGCCCCAGGGCAACCTCTGGCTCCACAGCCGTGGGAGGGCAGAGGGCCGGGCGAGCATTCACCATTGCCCTGCCAGCAGGATGGCACAGGGCTGCTGCCCGCCTTCCAGTCTCTCCACAGCACACGGCAAACTGTATTTCCAGCTAATGTGCTGCTTACAGGGAAGCCCTTTGCTCCTCTAAAGGCAGCTGGTACCTGATGGCACTGCCCATACTGGATGGCCGCTTCAGAATTCAGAAGATGAGTTGCTGCCAGGAGAGAGCAGCCTTCCAGCCACACTGGTGCTTCAGGTGCCATTCCCAGTCAGAGCAGCAGGACGGACAGATGGCCTTGGCTGCTTGAACCTTGACCTTCGGTTCTTTTGCTGAGAAATGGCGGGAAAGTGGAGGGCCATGCAGGTCCGGGTGCTGATGGGGTGTGCGGCGTTCCTGGACATGAACCTAACACTGCATTTTCAAGCACTTGTCAGATGCTGACAGATGCCCCAGGGTTTGAAGGCACCAAAGCTCACAGAGGGAAGTGAGTCTTGGGAGCGTGGTGGAGGAGGCAGCTGCAATGCTGAAGGCTCCTGTAGACAGTTAGGACCTGAGGGTTTCATTCCTCTGTCCCAAACCCAAACACCCAAGGCACAATGTGGCATCCAGGATTCTCTGGTGCCTGGAGCCAGCCTCAGGACCCTGGTCGACAGTCCCAACTGGCTCCATTTCTCTCTCTCTCCCTCTCTCTCTCTCTCCCTCTCTCTCCCTCTCCCTCTCTCTCTCTCCCTCTCTCTCTCTCTCTCCCTCTCTCTCTCCCTCTC